TTGAATTTGTAATAGGTATGTGCCACATCATCTGACTTTTTCCTTCCTTCCTTTTTTGGTCTTTTGAGACAGGATCTTACTTTGTGGTACATGCTAGGTTTGAACTCACTGTGTAGACCAAGTTGGCCTCAAACTCAGGGCAATCCTTCTGCCCCAGTATCCCAAGTGCTGGCATTATAGGCAGGTGCCATCATGCCCAGCTCTTTTTTTAAATCACATCAGCTTCTTTGTAGAAGATTCTCCGTAATTATGTGTGTGGAGTGAACAGTTTGAAGTAGGACTGCTTCATCTTTTCTAGTTCTGGTAGTGTGATATATTTGTAAAGTTTCTTCCTGTAGTTAGCAGTAAAACATCACGGTGAAGAAAATAATGAAAAGTTAAATTGTTTTGAAATAGTCTTTTTTTTTTCCCCCCATAGTACTGAGGATTGCCCCCAGGGCCTCACATATACTAGACAAGTTCTCTACCACTGGCTGCATCCCTAGCCCTGTTTGGTTTTTTTTGGGGGCGGGGGGTACTTAGTGAAGTTCTACGTCTAGTGATATTGCCACGTGATAATATATCATATTACAGAATTACACATTACAGAAAATATACCTCCTTATATGTCACATAATGCCTAGCTCATGTGTAATGCTTATACTGAAAACCCATAAATTATGTAGCCACTTACTTGGGATCACATACTCTTTTTTTGATTAATACATTTCTCAATGAAGATTTCATTGATTTTTTTTTTTAAATATCAATTTACCTTCAGTACTATAATCAAGTTCCATAGTAGGCATACATAGAATCTCTCATTCTGAACAATATATCATAGGCCTTCAATAAAAGTTAGTTGTTGGGGCTGGGGAGATGGCTCGGTGGAATAAGCGCTTCCCTGGCAAGCGCAAGGATCTGAGTTCAATCCCCGGTTCCACCAAAAAAAGAAAAAAAAAAAAAAGTTAGTTGTTTTTTTAATGGAAAAAAGACAAGACAGAATTTCACAACAAGATGACAAGAGAATAACAACAGTTTCTTTTTTGTATTTTTTAAAAATATTTTTATGGGGCTGGTGAGATGGCTTAGTGGTCTAAAGCACCTACTTAGAACAAGCTTAGCAAAACACAGGGACCGCGGTTCAATCCCCAGCACCACATGCCAGCCAGGCCCCCCCCTCCCCCCCGCCCTGGGCTGAGCTGGCCACACACACACATAAATAAATAAAACGTGTTTGGTACAGGATAACCCTGTTTTTTGAGACAGTGTTCTTGTAAAGTTGCCTAAGTTGGCCTCAGGCTCTTGAGTAGCTGGGATCATAAGTGTTGGCCTTGAACCTAGGCTGGCCTTAAACTCAGCAACTCTGCATCAGCCTCCTAAATCCTGGGATTATCTCTTGTAGATTCTGTTGTCTCAGGTTCTTAGTTTATTTATTGTTTGTTTTTTTGAGATGGGGGTCTCACTGTGTAGTTCAGGGATTTTTTGATAGTTGACAGAGCACAACTGCTACCTTTTACATGAGGTGGGGAAAATTCTTTCCTTTTTTATTAGAAGTCAGATTCTTTATTCATTGGGAAGCATGAACCTGAAATATACTAAAAATAAATCAGTCCTTTTTCCACTTGCAGGCTACAGAAGTTCTGCAACTTGGGCCACCTGAGCTGCTTTTCCTGCTGGAAGATCTCTCGCAGAAGTTAGAGAACATACTGCTGCTGACTTGTACCAAGAAAATGTCTTTCCTCAAGGTCAGTGTAGGCAGAAGGAGAGCCTGAGCTTCGTGTCTGGAATTCGTCTTTCTGACTTGTGCTGGTGTCTCTGTATAACATATCAACAAACCTGTTGTCAGCCTGTGTGCATCTTGCTTAGAAAGGAATTCTGGGCTAGTGCTGTAGCTCAATTGTGTGGCACTTGAATTAGCATGGGCAACACCCCACCTTGATCCCCAGCACTGAAGAAGAAAACAAAAAATGGGCTTCTGATAGAGAAAATAGAAAAGGAACTCAAAACAAGAAATTTTTTGCTAAATTTCTTGAATATTCCTTAAATCTGATGTTTCTTGGGTTTTATTTTCATGCTATAGGCCATCAAATCCAGGGCTTATGAATGTTAGACAAATGTTCTAGCGCTGAACTATACCCCTCAGCCCTTGGGTTTGTGTTTTTGTTTTTTCTGCGTGAATATTAATCTCAGGGCGTTTGCCCTGAGCTACATCCTCTGCCCTTTTTATTTTGAGACAAGGTCTTGCTAAATTAAGAAGTAGCCCAGGGAAAGTTCAAATTTTGATTCTCTTTATCTCAGTCTCTTGGAATGTTAGGGTTTTAGTCCTGCACTATCACACCCTCCCAGACTAAGCTTTAGTGTAGTAGTTGGCTGCCTAGTGAGGCCAGAACCTAGGTGTTTACAGAAAGTACAAACTCATACCTAGTATATGGAGGGGCAGCTGGAATGGGAGGAACTGATACGTGAAAGACTTGGGTATCAGTATTTAATACTGATATATCTAGTTATAGGCAGTGTATTCTTTGTACTGTTTGCTCTACATTTCTGTCAATCTAAATGATTGCAACATTGGTGTCAACTTCATTAGTTGTAATTGACATTTTTTTTAATACTGGGAATTGAACTCATGACCACATGCTGGCCAGGCAGGCAAGCTGAGCTATATCCCCTTTAGTTGACTTATTCTTAAACATTGCTGTTACTCCATAAAAGCCAATCTGAGATTACAGAGGTGTACTACTACACCCAGCTAGAAATAAGATTTTTTTCCTTTTAGAATCAAGGTCTTTTTTTGTTTGTTTGTTTTTTTGCAGAACTGGGGATTGAACTCAGTCCCTTGCACTTGCCAGGCAAGCACTTATTCTACTGAGCTATCTCTCCAGCCCCAAAGTCTTATTTTGTAGTTCAGACTGGCCTCAAACTTGTGGTGGTGCTTCTGCTTCAGTTTCTCAAATGCCAGGATTATAGGTATGTGCCACTACACCTAGAAAAGATATTTTTTGAATTCCCTGACAAAATGTCCTTGCAAGCACCTCATTTTTCTCATCCACCCCTCTTTAGGGAGGTATGAGCTTGAGCAAATTCAGGGCAGGTGTGGTGGTACACACCTGTAATGCCAGCCCTCAGGAGGCTGAGGCAAGAGGATCACCATTAAGTTCCTGGCCAACTTAAGCTACATAACAAGACTGTCTCAAAATACAAACAACACCTGCTCAGCAAGCTCAAGGACTGGGATTCAATCCCTGGTACCACATGCTGTGCTGGCATGTGGTGTACCCTGGCTGTGCTGAGCCAGCCACTGAGACTGAGTGTGGTGGTGCACACCTGTAATCCAGTGCTGCGGAGTCTGAAAACAGGAGGCTCACTATGAGTCCGAGCTGCGTAATGAGACCCTGTACAACCAAATGTTAAAAAAAAAAAAAAAATGAGATTAAAATACAAACAAGCAAAAGTTTGAACAAATCTGTAATAAAC